AAAAGACCCCCCCCCCCCCAAATCAGAACTAAAGTCAAACAACTATTTACTATCTGGATCCTTCTATAAAGCACCCTCAGAGAATGAAAGAACACTAAGGTAAAACTGATTTTATATAATAACAGCCAACACGAGAAGATCCTATTAGCCTCATTCCACATTTTTTTACAGATGAAAACAGAAGGCTTGGCCAGGTTAAAAGTCACTTAAGTCAGTAAGGAAGTAGCAGAGCCAGAACTCAAGTTCAAGACCCCCTAACTCCAGAACTCTTGCCCTGTATAAGGACAGCATGACACCAGTTATTCAGAAGACCTACTCTTTCTAAATCTGTTCACAACCAAATACTTCTGAAATTATAAAGTAGGAGATTCATCAGTGATGAGATTTCTTCCAGGTGTTAAAATAACACAATCCAGGTACTTTGTTTACTATTGCAGGAAGAATCACCTTGAAAGAAATTAAATTTGCATAATCCTAGAAGCCACCTTATAGAAATCCAAATTTGTCTAGTCTAGCCAGGGGCCTAGGAATCTGCATTTTATTTCATATGCCAGATGATGAAGGTTAATTTTTGGACCATACTTTAAGAAATACTGCTCTAGATAAGTAGATACCTATCATCATGTTCTTTAGACGAGATTCTCAAATAGCACTACATGAGACAGATCACCTGTTGAGTCCTCATACTGTTAGTTAACTAGTGAGCCTGTGTTCTCTATAAAATGCAATTAATATTTACCTAGATTCAATGTGAGGAATAAATGAGCAAAGAGAAAATATACAAATGTAACTAAAATTTTTTAAAAGAATAATAAAGATGAACTCCTACAAGACATTAGGACATACTATTAGGTTGAACCATATGAAGATGCTACTTGGCCATTTTTGACCTACATAAACAGCAATTTCATATGATTCACTCAAATATAAAATTATAGTGACTCTCTACATATGTATGGTATTGGTGCAGGCATTGGCGAATCAATAGAGTTTAGAAGAGCACATTTGTGAAACAGGTCCATGTGTACATGGAAATTTAGTTTATTAGAGTGGTATTTCAAATAAAAATGCACTGTTCTATAAATGGATAATTATGAAAACTGCATATCTCTTAGGAAAAAAGGAAAGTTAAATCCCGGCTCCACATTATATCCCAAAATGACCAGTAGATGGGTCAAAGCACTAAATGTAAAAAAAAGAAAAGAAAAAAATTGTAACAGTATTTGTACAAATTGGAAGAATATATTTTATAATCTTGAATAGGAAGCTCATTTGTAAGCAAAACATAAAACCCAACATTAAGAATGATAAAATACAAACTGAACATCAAAATTAAAAACTACTATCATAAAGTGATAAAGACAAGCAGAAGATTGGGGAAAATATCTGTACATATAGAAAAGACAAGATTAGCATCCATAATATACAAAGAAACCCTATAAATAAAAGAGAGAGAGAACAGAGCAAGTATATAGGCAAATAATCCACAGAACAAGAAATACAATCATTAAATGTTTGAAAGGCTGCTCAACCTTACTAGTAGACAAGAAACTGCAAATTCAATTAGCACTGTAAGACCTTTGGCAAAACATTATCCACCTCCCCCGACAGATGCCTAGTAGGATCAGAGCCATCTTACCTTTGACACATAGTAACGATTAACTCCAGAGATGCGCCTATCTCTTTCCATCAAAGTCCACGGATATGAATAATAGGCAACCCTTTTTTCCTACAATTAAAATAAATCATTACTGCAGTTTTAAGATGAGTGACCCAACAAAGGAATATCAGAACTTTAATAAGTGACATTCTATAATAACGGAATCATCACTGAAATAAAAACCAAATTAACAATGTAAGACCAGAATCCTAAGTAAAATCGGAACACTGCCCTGGCCGATGTGGCTCACTGGTTAGAGCGTAGCCCGAGCAGCAACAAAGGGTCCCAGGTTCGACCCTGGCTTGCAGGTTCCATCCCCCACCGGGATTGGGGTGCGCTAGGGAGGCAACCAATCGACGCTAGCCCTCGCTCCCTCCCCCCCCCAAAAAAAATCGGACCACCAAACTTCAGATGGTAACTTACACTTCCTCTTTTAACCTGCATCATTTTTTTCTTTCCTCCCTGTCCCTACGCCCTTTTAAAGACATGACTACTCGTTTCTTTTTGGGACCTAAGGGAAAGAAAACAGCGGTTTTGTGAAGGGCAATCACAAAACCAAAAAGCAAATACATTTACACCCTGTACTCTAGAGATGATGTAAAGGACTAGGAAGAGGAGGAAATGACAATATGGAAAAACAGGGTCTTGCGGTACATTCTTAAAGGCTTGCAAGAGAAAATGGGGAATAAAAAAATGTCAAGGTAAAACCCTAATTAAGGTTGGGGAAGATGTAAAGAATGAGAAGCTACCAACATGTGAATACGAGGAGTTAAAATCAAAATCGAGCACGAAAGATAAGTGGGAAGGAATGGGGGCAAGCCTGACACCTCCCTCCTCTGCCGAAGAGCTTGGACCTAACCGCTGCTCCTCTGCTTTCCCATGGCCCGAATCTCTACTCAGCACTCTGACCCACTCTTCTCCACCCAGCAACCAGCTGTTTTTTGCTAGAGTAGAATGTTGTTTCCGTCGGGCTTCATGCCGCAAACCTCCACGTTTAGGCAATACGAAAAAAAAAAGGGGGGGGCGACCTTGGAATTCCTTGTCTCGGACAGAGGGTCGCGATGCTAACGGCCTCGCTGACCCGCCGCCCGTGACGTAACGTCGGTGGCGGAGTGGGCCGCCGGGCGGAGGGGCCGCCTTACCTTGCCCCCGTTACTGAACCTATGGATGCGCGCAGTGGCGACTCCGGGGATGAGTATGCACGTGCCCATGATGGCGAGCCCGGGGAGAATCTCGAACCACATCGCGGCAAGGTGACCAAGGCCAAACAACACCTTCCAAGTCCTTAAAAGTGACCGGCAGCAATCCCTTCCCACAAAGCCCCGCGGCGGGGCGGGGACACGTACGCGGCGGAAGAAA